CCAATGGCAATGATATAAACAACATATCAGGATTATTATGTTCCTTTGAGAATTCAAGGATACAAATTTTGTAGGACAAGGATACAAAACCAATACAAAAAGTTTGGTAAAACAGAATGGACAAATAAGTTTTTATTTTAAATTAAAATTTTATAAATTAGGTTGTAGGTTCCAGGTCTCGCCCTGATTCCCACAAAACTTGTCAAGATTCAGCCATTTTGAATATTTCTTCTCGTTTAGACAAGTATACATTTGTTTATTTTTTTTAAGTTCAAATATAAACTTGCAGATGATAATTAAGCATTTATTGTGTCTTCTCCAGTGACGTTTTTCATAAAGTTCTTAATTTAAAATATATGAAAATGGACATAGGCTGCTTGTGAGCTTGTTTTGAAATTAAACCATAAAGTTCAAATTACGTCCTTTCTATTCTCAAATGAAAACAAGACAGATGTATTGTCTTTTTTCTTTTTTTTTTTGTAAAGACATGTTGTGAAAACAGACTTGAAGTCTTTCATATGAAATTTAGCAATTTCAATTTTTCTTTACTAATAATATGTAATTATCTCGGAAAATATAGGTCAATTCGGTGATACATAAGCTAGGCCTCTTCTGTTAGTAACATTTGCTTCTCTTCCTGCTCACAGACAGTAATGCATTTCGATCGTAATTTATCGATAATGCCTTTCTATTATAAAATCAATTACAATATATACATTTTACAGATAATTTATATATCTAAAAGACATGCCAGCAACTATTAGCCTTATTTCTGACCAGAAACAATACAATTTACGTTTCGTTTGCAATGCATTTCTAAGGAATGTCATTTGTAATGCAATGGTATAGTAAAAGGCATTTCTATTAACTTCCATAGTAAGGAAATGCATTACACAATATATATATATATATATATATATATATATATATATCGGCTGTAACAGCAAAAAAATTGTTCAAATCGTGTAACAGCATGGGATAATTATCCATCCCACAAAATGTTTAATATCTATAAAACACGAAACGAATCGAGTTTCTTTTTTCTGAGTTTTCTGATAAAACTTTTATCCATTTTGACACCATTTGTCGTAAGAATCACTGAAAAACCCTTCGAGTTTTTATTCAGCTAGAAAGAGAACAGTTTAAAATCGTTTTGTGCCAGACGCACTGTCTTCCCAACTGAGCAATGGTGAGAGGAAAAAGAATATTTGGGCCTTCAATAATGGTACCAACTTTCATACTCTGATTTCCAACTTCAAAGTCGATTCAAGAACCAACAAAATAATGGTGAATAAGTTTTTTAAAAAAAGGGGGGAACAGCAGAGGGGAAAACTGGATCAGAAGGTCAAAACAGGAAGAGGTATCATCATTTCAACTAAATACGACCTTTTGGTCATAGTAGAGTCCAATAATGTTATGAAAACCACGGAGAATTCCAGTATGATATCTTTAATCATTTCCAAGATACAACGATTTAAATCTCAATCTAACAATTGAACAATTTTGCTGTTACACCCGATATATATATATATATATATATATATATATATATATATATATATATATATATATATATATATATAAGCAAGTGTAAATGGATATAAATCCGACAGAATGAAGAAATTTTGAAAAAACAATTTTTTTTTTGCTATATATATATATATATATATATATATATATATATATATATTGTGTAATGCATTTCCTTACTATGGAAGTTAATAGAAATGCCTTTTACTATACCATTGCATTTAAGGATTTTTGTTTGTTTTTCAAAATTTCTTCATATATATATATATATATATATATATATATATATATATACTTCAAAATATACGAATCAACCATTCACCCTTGCATGGAGTATTGCTGCCATATATGGTCTGGGGCACCTTCTGTTTACCTCGGAGTTCTTGACAAGATCCAGAGACGGATATGTAATATAATTGGCCCTGATCTGGCGTCTCGTCTACAGTCACTCTCTCACAGACGCGCCGTCGCCTCTCTCTGTCTTTTCTACAAATACTTTCATGGTAATTGCTCCGATGACCTGCTTTCAGTGGTTCCCAGACTCCATGAATTCAAGCGCCCTACGAGGCTGGCATCACCCTTACACTGTAGAAACTACTAAATGTAGCCGTCTCTTCTACTTCAATAGCTTCATACCTCGCTCCTCTCGCCTGTGGAACACCCTTCCCAATTACTGTTTCCCTGAGAGCTATAATTTCCAACTATTCAAATGTAATGTCAATCGACATCTCCAGTAACCTTGATCTATCCACTATCCTTCTCCTCTTCCTTTCTTCTGTCACTCCTATCTGCTCATGCTCCAAATCTTCTGCAACCCCCTGCATCCTACTGGCATCACGCCTTGCTCGGGGCGTAATGCTTAATATATATATATATATATATATATATATATATATGGTATTTAATATTTAAATGAACACACATATATAGTGGGCGTACTTGTATCTAATATGGAGAGCGAAAGTATGTACCCAAAATCGTTGGTTGAAAATTCTTTCTTTTATAAGCGTTTCAAGTGCAATCTTGCGCCAAGGATGGCTCAGCCCAATAAATATCTGACTTGTTTCTTACATAGATGTGTGCTTTTTCTCTTTCACACGTCTGTGTCCATGTGTGTATGCGCGCAGACGTTTGGCTTCTAACCTTTGTTTGTTGAAGAGAAACTTGCCTCCATGTCACTATTATATATAAAATAACTATTATATATAAAATGTACACACGCGTGATAAGACACTCTGACCTACGCTTGTTTTGGCGCGACTTCCGTGCTCGATAATTTCTCGGATCAATTGAAACGTATTACGTTACCGCGAATGCTTAGTAAAAATACGACCCGGTGAGACGTGGGTGGTGGGTCCGTGCCGTAGAAGTGAAAACACGGAAAAACATTACTAAGCACAGCGTGTACAATCATGTTTGGTTTGATATTTTGTCACTCTGTAATTCTACCTGTTTAGTACGGTAGATCGTCGCCGTCGATCCTGAGTTCTGCGGGGAAAAAACGAACGAAGAACTGGAATCTTTAAAAGCGACAGTATTCAGTCTACTGATCGAAAAGTTTTAAATAAATTGCTCTCAGGAGAACCTGATATTATGTTAAGCTTCACTATCGAGTGAGTGAGAGAGAGAGAGAGAGAGATCTATACGAAGACAGCCATATATATTATAAGCTAAAAATGTGGGGCCACCCACTGAATTTCGAAGAAACGACAAAAATTTGAAATTTACTTGCCTTTTCCAAGACTAATTTTGTCACTCACTTCGGGGCATAGGGATTACATTTCCTGATAAGAATTATTATAAATTCAATAAAAATAATAACGAAAATAATTCATCACGGCATAAACTTTCTTTATGTTTTAAACTTTTTCATAAACTATGATGCTCGCTAATACACCCTACTCTCGTAAGAGTTAATTAAACCGAAAGAGATCTGAAACTTACTAAATATTATTATTAAATCTAGAGAATGATCCAAAACATTTGGATTATATATATATATATATATATATATATATCCAAGTATATAATTGGTATATATGGAATGCATTCCAATAACCAACAATTACTATTCTTAAAAGAGTGCTCAATACAAAGTAGAGCAGATATAATTATTTTTTATAAAAAAATTATAACATAAGTATGTTATAAAATCACTACAAAAATAGCCATTTTGTTTCAACACACTCTGTGTCTTATCAAGTGATGATGTTGAAAAGAAAATAAATATATATTCTTTCTTTTCTCAATAATTTTGTAGTTTTGAAACTTAATAGTGATTAAATTTGGATTTTAAAATTGCCAGTTTTTAATTTTAATATTAAATTTTATCATATAATTTTACAATTATTGGTTAGTATAAATTATTTTTAATATTACACGTATTTTAAAGATCTGAATAGCTATTATAACATGATTTCGTTGTCAAGCTTTTGAATCTTTCTATACTTCGTTTTTGATTGGTTATTCTAGCTTTTGTAACAATGTTTCCCCCTAGTGTAGGATCGTTAATTAATCTGAAACTTTTAAAACCATTTATTTTATTTTCAACATCATCACTTGATAAGACACAGAGTGTGTTGAAACAAAATGGCTATTTTTGTAGTGATTTTATAACATACTTATGTTATAATTTTTTTATAAAAATATTATATATATATATATATATATATATATATATATATATATATATATATACATAGATACATACATATAACTGAATACTAGTATTCGAGGATACCCGTCTACTAGAACGGCGAGTCAATCCCTATTGCAGGCGCCTGCCCTGTCGTTTATACTACAACTATGCTGAGCGGACCTTACTTACAGTTTCTGGAAAAGGGCGTGTTATCTAGCACGATCAATAATTTGAACAAGGACAGCCCGCTCAAGACCTTGGTCACGATGACTTGTGACTTTTTTGCTATCACAGGTATCGACGGCTCCAGGGGTTCCGTCTACACGTTTTCACTTGAGTCAACATGTGGCATGGTTTCAAGCACTTCCTAAAAGGTGCTGCACGCGGAGATCGACCCCTCCAGTCCGATAAAATCAGGAAGTCTCCTTCCTGACAAATCGAACATAATGAGATTTGAACCTGGGTCTCATGGTCAGAATGCGAACATACTAACCACTCGGTATACATACATACATACATACAAGTGGACATTAAGGTCAACACTTAAATTTGACTGTCTGTTTCATGCTTAAACGCAATCACTAGGCCATATAAGCAGAGTTTTGGTCAATAGTGCATTATGAGTAGGTCTACTCTATTATTGTAACGGTGATATTTCAAATTATTCTAGGAGTTACTGAGTGGAAATTATCATTGGAGTACGATAGATAAGTTTTTTGAAGTTTATTTTTATTAACTATTGGTTTATTGGATATTTTGTTTACAAAAATTCAAGATCACTGTAAAAGAAATAAATGAAAGTAATTCACTGGACTGCGTATTTTGTTAGGCG